CTTGAAATGAAATTTCAGTTGATTTCCTTGTGGGCTCATTTATTCCAAACTAATCTCTGGATGTACGTGTAAAGATGAAACACATTAGGCCTGCAGGAAGTGATCATTAAACACTGAGATAACGCGCGTACCTCTCCCATGGTTTTACACATTATGGATGAAAGTGAACTGATAGCAGCCGACAGGTGATAATCAGTAATCGCTCTCGTCTACACTTCCCAAAGATATGTTTTTCTATCATTTCTATCATTAATGAGTTATTTGACGCTAAAAAGGAAATTGTGACATCTTGATTCACAGCCGTGATTGACAGCTGCTCCGAATGAAGCGCTGAAGGAACGAGGAATGTAAGCGGAGGCAGCTGGTCTCCTAAACATGAACTTCACATTCAACGAAACCGCAATGTCAATAACGTTTCAAAAGAGACGTGTTCTCTCCCGGAACACTTTTGTTCTTCGGGAACCGCAAACATGTTGAACGCCGTCGTCCTCGTAGGTCAGAGGTCAGAGGTCGGAGCGGATCGATGGAATATCAACAACAGGAAAACAAGCGTCCAACAAATGATGCTTCAAGACAAGTTAATCACAATCAGTGGGAGCATTTTACTGTCCTGTATTAATGTATCCGCTTCACATATGTGTGTGTGTGTGTGTGTGTGTGTGTGCGTGTGTGTGTGTGCGTGTGTGCGTGTGTGTGTGCGTGTGTGCGTGTGTGCGTGTGCGCGTGTGCGCGTGTGCGCGTGCGCGTGTGCGTGTGTGCGTGTGTGCGAGCGCTCGGAGGCCATTGCTGACCCGGCATCTTTCCTCACATCCGCATGTTAGAGCACTTCCACCTCCCCTTCTGTTACTGTGACGGCACCATATGTTTCCCTCTCTGTCCCAAAATCTGATCCCCCCCCCCAGCCCCCCCCCATTCCCCCCCCATTTCCCCCCCATTTCCCACAACACCCATGTTGCCTCATTGCGACCTTCTTTTCACTGAGGACGTTTGCATGCATCCTGGTCTCCCGGTTATGAGTCACACACTGTTTTTGATCATATTTGGGATGTGACGTTTATGGTGCGTGAGACATACAGTGAACTAGTTATTTGTCATTTGTCAGTTATTTGATGTTAACATTATTCAGGTGTGTGATCGCTGTCTTTGGCTTTGTGACATCTCCTAGTACACAAACACTCTCCCAACGCCCAACGCGGTACACCGGTATCACGCCAAGGCACAGTAGTTCTCCATAAAAGCAGAGAAACAGATGTTTTTCCCCGATCTGTCTTTTTTCTTACAGTCTGGAGGAACCCTCCTCTCATTATTATGCGATAGTGAACCGATAAGGCTTCCAGCTGTGACAGGGCCTGCAGTTTCTCTCCCTATAGGGATATAGCTTCTGCAATACCTTCAGCCTCGAGGTAGAGCAATTCCTAAGGTCCTAATCTCTCTCCTCGCTCGTCAAGACCCTGATTATAATGACGGTTCCTTACTTTTCGCGGGACACGTCCGTCCTCACGCTCATCTCGGCTCAGTTGGAGACATCCAGCGGAGACATCGAACATGTAGATTACACGAAGGACGAGGAAGGGCAGCGATGAGAGAGACCTGTTGGGCAAGAGACAACTCATGGGAATCAGTGTTTTCAGTAAAGGATCCCAGCGGCATAATTAACATGTTTTCATATCTGTTCACGGCTCGTGATCGTTTCATCTTTTGCATCATTAGAAAATGTGACGATGCTTCTAACACGTTGTTCCTGCGGGACACAGAGCAGCTGTTTAGTCGAGAGCTTTTCTTTCTCAGTCTGCGTTATTGTTTCTGCATTTAGCCAAGAAAGCCAAACTCCGCTGAGGAGCGAAGTTTTTTTACGAGTTGGTCCCCATTTGATTTGCATTGTGCACGTGCGCTTGGATGCACATTCACACAATGCATATTTCTCACCACCAGTTTCATGCTATTCCTCTGATTGAGCAGCCTGACATGACTCGGATCTCGTAACAGCTCATTGTGTGGTGTTTGCACGTAATGTGTTCAAACGACGTGTTGATGGGACAGAAACAATCCCGACGGACAGTCGCTGAGGATCTTTATGTTGCGGTGGACACACCAATGAAACGCATCCGAGCTAATGTCCGACGCTCACGCGCTAGAGTTGTGTTCATGTCCCAAACTGTTGTTGTGTTATTGTGACGTTACGTTTGAGACATTTTTACGTCATTTAATTAGTTTACGTCCTCATTTGAAGCCACATCAGGATGTTTCTCCAAAACCTAACTAAGTGGTTTTGTTGCCTAAATCTCACATTAAATTGTTTCTGTGGTGTGAACCACAAAAACAAAATATACATTATGCAAACCCTGGGTTCTATCTTCATTAATTATAGATCTAAATGAATGATGTAGTACACCACACATTTACTGATGTAATAGGATTAAATAAAGAATACAACTCTGACAAGCTATAAGCCTGTTAAAGCGTTTGTGGTCATGGATCTACAACAAGCCATTCAAACTGCTGCTGAGGACTTCTACCAACAGGTTACTTTAAATAGTATTAATAATGATGATGATCTCTCTTCATGGATGTGCTGATCTGAATCCATGCTTCTGAATGCAGTTTAATGTTCACACAGATGCAAACTGGGCACAGAGCAAGTTGTTGAATGAAAGGCAAAGCTGGAAACACTGATGATCGTCTGCCTCGTTCTATCTGCATCGATCAAACGTTTCTATCAACACAAAGATGAGACGCAGAAGATGAATCTGCCGTCAGAAGATGTTTGTTATATTTAGTTATTTGAAAGGTTTTGCATGATTAATGTTTCACAAACGCCTGAATTCTTAATGCATAACTTACAGATGGTTGAATATATGGAAAAACTCCAACTATTATATATAACGTTATCTAAAGAAAAGTGCAAGCTCATCATTTACATTTGGCTTCACACTGGATATAAGCAGCGGTCTGCTGGGTGAAAGTCCTGCGTATTTCCTCCGTATACGACGTGAAAAGCCCCTTTTATTCCCAGAGCGTCAAACATGGAGGCTTTGTCGACGCCCCGCAGCGTCTGGACGAAACAAACCGGGCTTTCAAGCAATTACAATCTGTGTCATTGTTAAGATGCTCAGAGAAAATGCTCCGGGAGTGTGATTACACTAGACAGGGCAAAAAGAAAATACACATGGTGGGTCAAACAAACACAGGACTTTCCACCAGCAGACCTGTGTTTGTGTCTTAAAGTGTTGTCGAGTCACTTTGAAGTTATGTTAGTGATGTTTTCTGTACTTATGTCTAAATTTGACTTAGTTTACGTGCTAATTCTAAAGCACAATCATGATGTGTTTCCGTAAACCTAACTAAGTGGTTTTGTTGCCCGAACCTAAGCGAGTTCTTTTGTTTGACTGCACCGCAGCGGAGCGGCAAGCGCGGGGCTGCACAGTGCGTTAAGCAACGGACGCCAAGGGGTGCACAAGCGTTCACTTTCAACGTATGCGTGATTTGCAGAAAAATTCCAAGATTTTCTTTCTGCCGACTGGAGCGTTAAAACTACACAAGATAAAAACAATTCTATCTAGAATTTACAGAGGGGCAGAATGAAGGAGAAGAAGAACAGACGCACTCGGCTCAGGTAGTTTATGGATAAATAACTGGAAAAATACTTAAACTTAATATGTAAATGTGTTTGTTTTGTAGAAACAGTGATGACGGTACACCACAGTATACGAATTATTAATAAAGGAATGCTTGTTTAAGGCCAGACACCTCCGGCAAAAACATTGTTTCTCATTCACTGGACTAGTTTGGTCTCAGTAAAAACATTTGACTCTAATGCTGAACAAAAAGATACAAGTTCGTTTTTTAACCTGGTCTATAATGCAGCGTGGTCGTCCACTGTTGTCAGGTTCCTTATCCTTTATGGACCGATGCTGTGGATTCAGACCCCCCCTACTGGTTGTACATTATTATTACAAGAAACTATATCAGGCAAATGCATTTTCATTCATGTTCAGCACTTAGCACCAAGCGCTCCACAAAAACACAATAATACTTAAAATACTGCCTCAAAATGTATTCAAAGTCAGCTGTTCACCGTTTCCAGAACGGCGTCTCTTCGTGCTGCTAGTTACCGTCTGTGTGGACCGGGTTTCTGAGTAGCAGCAACACAAACCGATGTATATTTTTGCATTAATTATGGCCACATTTGAAGTAATTAGCTCCAGGCGTTCCCGGGTCAGGACGCATGAAAACATGGAGCCTCGGAGGCATAAACACGTTTTAATGCAAAGCAAGAACAACGTTTAGTTTTCCTGCTTTGAGGAACAGCTGCAACGGAAGATCTGAGGGGCTTCTCGGGTTCATAAACCAAAAGCATCTCTGGTGTCCATGCAGTGCCTTATGGAATAATAAAATAACCTAACAAATCAATACCGAAACAGCTTAAGGACTTAGAAATAGGCGTATTGTGTGCTCTCCTTTTGCTTAGTCAGCAGAATGTTGAATTAGTCCAGAAGATCCTCACGTGTCTGATGAGATCCCACGAGGCTCGCAGGTTACAGGACTCTGTCCCCCTGCAGGACACGTTAACCTTTATGTATTCTAAATGTCTGGCTTCCTGTTTTAACACATTATCATCTCCCACGTGACTACCTGCACTAATTAACACATGCTAGTTATGAAACCAGTGGGAACTCCAGTGGCATGAACGACAATATCACTGAAACTTAAATTGAAAAGTTATGAATATTAAACACACACGCGAGGTGTTGAGATGGTATGAAGGCGGCATCGATGTTTAATGTATTTTGCATCCTGTTTCTCTCTGTTCTTACGTGTACCACAGTCCATGTTGGTATAAAAGTCTTCTTAAAACTTTGCTCTTATTCAAATTGCCTTTAAAAATCTAATAATCTAATTTTGTCAATACATCAGGATTCTCAAGGTATTTGAAAAAATTAGGCAAAGGACAAACTCTTTAGGAGGCGGAGCTCTTCATGAAAGTAGAGTTGGATAAAACATGTCAGATGGCAATCTGTTTTATTAGACGTTTTGTGTTCTATAGTTCTGCAGCGCTCACAGAGCTTGTATAAAAGCCTTTAATCCCACACACACATAAATAAATAAATAGATCAACACTCCCCAGTTACCCACACATTCATCGCTGCTTATCTTCAACAGGAAACCAAAGAGGGAAATAAAAAAAAAAATCACATTTCAAGTTCCACTTACACAACACAGTGGCACGAGCCTCGCCAGAGACCCAAATAAACACAGTCAAGTTCATTTAGGGGAAAAGATGATTAGAAATAACCGCTGCAGCGTAATTATTCTTCTGGAAGCTGGAGGTGACGAAACGTGTTCCTTTCACCCGACGCATTTCATTAACTGCAGTTCTTCTTCGCTGCAGGGAGCAGCGGTCGCTCCTCTTATTTAATCTTCATTCCATACGTATGAATATATATATATACACGTGTGCACTCAGAGACACTAATGCATACAAACGTGGAGCCTCGGAGATAATTAAATGTCAGGAAGCTATTGGAAGCAGCAACCTCACAAATCCCACTTTAAAAGACAATTAACTTGGGAGCGATTATTGTGTTGAAGTAAAACCTCCAGCAGACTTTAGATAAGCTGGCGCCACACAGACGAGGATGGAAAAGTGAACCGGTGCTGCGGTATTGCTTTACGTAGACAGCTTCCCACGACACCTTTATCTCAGACCCGAACCTCGAGAAGAGAAACACCTGGGACAACAAGGATCAACAAGACCTCCTGTGTGTCTGTAGCAAGTCACCATACGGCATTTAGATGAGAAACATCGCGTTCACAGACGCTTCATTCAGTGGTAGACTTTACAAATCTAGATTTACTGGAGTTTCACTTTGATTTGACACATTCCAGCTCACTTTGTGTCCACATTGAGTTGGTGGTAGATGAACAAACAAGAAGTGCATGTGACTCTGAACACACACACACTTGGCCCAGGACACACAATGTCCACTCATTGTTCTCTTCTCATGAACTGAAAGCGTTTCCTTCAGTTCACAGAAGTTCTGCTTCATCCTCGTCATTCTCAGAGCCGGACGGTCCCTGCCGAACTTCCTCGTACCACTTGTTGGTCAGGGTCTTCATCTGGATCCGGCCATGCAACAAGTCCTGTGAGTGAGAGACGCACACACACACACACACACACACACACACACACACACACACACACACCAGAATGCATGAACATACAAAATAACACTTCTTAGAATAAAGAGGCCCTGCAGCAAAATCCAATAATGTTGAGCTCTTAATGTTCTGTTTTTGTACATGAAATGTCTTGCTGAGGGTTTTATGATTTATCACTATCTATGTCTGTGGCTGTGAATCATAACTACAAAGGCTGCTTCTCAAGGACGTGATAATAAACTAATGTATAAAGTTTAAGTATGTTCTCGTGATAATCACACGTTTTACAGGTGAGTTTTCGAAGGCAGCGATTAAGAAATGGCGACAGGATATTTATGCTAGATATGCAAACCAATAGAATGATGGAGGGATATTATTGTTACTTTAACAACATTTGGATCACCACCACAATGTGACACCATGCTTTTATTGTGAAGGAGTTGTAGGAAATGCGATGCATGTGTCACCAAGTGAGTGGCGCTACGCAGCAACAACAACTAAATCGACCAGTTATGGATATTTAATGTTTATAACGTTTCCCTGAACTCACAAAACTCAGTGTTTTTAAAGGAGTGTGGTACTCGTAGAGTGTATTGTTGTTACTGTGCCGATTGAGCCACAAACACATTGAATCCACGGCACAGTAATAATAATGAGGAGAAGAAGAAGTAAAAGAAGAACAAGGGGGAGCAGAAGGGGGGGGAGGAGGACCAGAAGAAAAAGAAAAAGGAGTAAAAGGCAAAAAAGAAGGAGGAAAAGAAGAAGTAGGAGCAGAACAATAAGCAGGAAGAGGAGGAGAAGAAGAAGAAGAGAAGCAGGGAGAGGAGGAGAAGAAGAAGAAGGAGCAGAAGAAGAAGAATCAGAATAAGAAGAAGACCCCAGTCTAATAAAAATATAAAAACTGAATAAAAAGGTCCTGTAGCAATTAAACACTGGTGACACTTTGGTATTTCCAGCTGCCATGTCCTAACATTACTAAAATGTTTGCAGTCGTCATAGCATGCAGTAAATTAAAACCATCTTAGCCACCCCCTAAAAACAGCTCCTGTACGGCTTCCACCATGTGGGCCTCCCGGGTGTCTCCCTTACCTCTTGGGTGAGCCGGCGGGTGAAGAAGGGGTTCAGGTATTTAGCATCGAGCCACATGAAGCCCTTCAGATCTTGTCTGTGGTAGATGTGAGCCTCGTACTCCTCCTCCGTCAGCTCCGATAGGTGCTCCGACTCGATGGTGTTACCCTGGAGAGAGGAAAGGGAGGAGCAGAGAGAGAGGGGGGGAGTCAGATGAGTGGACAGAAATAAATAAACTGTTACTCGGTGAGCATCTCTGCGATGAGAGTGGTTTGTTGCGTTTGAGCCGTCACCATCTTCTGCGTCTTGCTGAGATTGATGTCTTTCTTGCTCTTGCGCCGCGACTGGCTTTCCTCGATGTCCATGAGGCGAACGAGCGGCATGGTCCCGCCCCCCATGAGGAGGATGGTGAAGAGGACGATGATGATGGTGGTGGTGCCGATCAGCTGCCGCTTCTCGATGGGCTCCAGGCCCAGATGGAGGCTCAAGGCGTAGGGGATGGCCCCTCGCAAACCTGTCAGGACAAAAGAGACGACGAGAGGAGCGGGACCGTGAGACGTCTGCACGCTCATCCTCGGAAACATCATTCTATACATTTATATAGAATAAACTTTTCAGACTTGAGAAGCTGGAGAAATGTCCTGTTGATCGACTTTAATGAATGAATATCAATCAATTAATGGACTACGTGCTTCGCTCTAGTGGTTACTGCTTTCACTGACACCCAGAGACGTGCTCACTATGTTCGGGGTTTAAAAGCACGGACGCATTAGACAAAAGGTTGACTGTGCCGTCTCACCACTAAACCACATGACGAACATCATTTTGGGCGTAATCTTGTGGTCTCTGAAGAAGTTCAGCAGGAATGACAGCGGGAAGATGTTCACCGCTCGGCCCAGAAGAACCAGGACCTACGAGAGAGAATAACAGTCACGGGAACGATCGCCACGAGGTGAATCGACATTCAGATAACAGTTAAAGAAATGCAAGAGCACTTACTATGCACCAGATGACGAACGATAATTCAAATTTATGAGGGAAGCTGAAGATGGAGAGACCAAGGAAGGCAAACACACAGGTCTCTGGAGAGGGAATTTAGAAAAACAGTGTTGAGACCTACAACTAGCGTCACACGGTTTAATGCCTCAAGTTACACTTTACATCTGTGTCGGTTGAAAATGTCACAACATGTTATCCTATTAGACATTTGTGAGAAATCGTGATGATTAGCACATTATTTCTAATCTGACCTTCCACGGTTTGTTACACTGAACCTTCTCAGAAGCTGTCATTGGAAACTGTTTGTAAAAAAGCATGCACTTTAAAAAAAATATTTGACAGGTGATTGGACGAACCACCTGTCAATCAAACTCTAATCGAAGCCAGTCGGGAGAAGAGCGAAAACATCTTTCCGATCTGCTCTTTTGCTCTCAAGTTCTGGTATAACTGACACACACTTAAGCCACGCCCCCATCGCACGCTCAAGCCACGCCCCATCACACACTTAAGCCACGCCCATCGCACGCTCAAGCCCCATCACACGCTTAGGCCACGCCCCATCACACGCTTAGGCCACGCCCCATCACACGCTTAGGCCACGCCCCATCACACACTTAAACCACGCCCCATCACACACTTAAACCACGCCCCATCACACACTTAAACCACGCCCCATCACACACTTAAACCACGCCCCCCACCACACACTTAAACCACACCCCCATCACACGTAAGCCACGCTCCTCTCTCCCACACACACCCACACACACTTACGCCACGCCCCTCGATGGATTTTTTTCGTGTCAATTTTTCCCGCAATTCTGGCGCGACGTCGTGAGAATCCAGCTGCTGTGCGACGGATTCTTAAATTAAGAACATAAGCGTGTTTTTGTGAGGTCACAGCGAGCTTCTCAACACCAAACTCAAATCAGTTTATTTGGACATTTGTGCCAAATATGAAGAACATTCCTGAGCTATCACGTTCACGAGAACGGGACGGACGGACAACCTGGAAAAAAAACGGCTGATGAGGTGAAAGACGTAATGATTCACTGACCACACATGAAGGCCATCGTGCGCAGCGTCTGCTGCATGAGGATCTGTGTGACGGGGGACAGGTTGTGATGGGTGTAGTGAGACATCACGATGCCCGCAAACAGGATGGACATTATTCCTGGAGGTGGAGAGAAAGCATGGCATTAAAAAAGAAAAAAGGTGCTATGAAGTCAAACATCATGGAAGAATGTGTGTGTGTGTGTGTGTGTTTGCACCCACCAGACAGTTTGAGGCCCTCTGCCAGGCCATAGGGAAGGTACGCAAAGATAATCATCATCCCAAACTCCAGCGAAGGAGTCTTCCTCAGATCAAAGTGTTTTAGAAACTAATCAGTGAGTTAGGGAGCTTTAAATAAGATGAATACACACACACACACATGAGTTTAACACTCTCTCTCTCTCTCACACACACACACACACACACACACACACACACACACACAGGATACAAGAGCTGAGATGAGTCCAGTGAGGGTTCCCAGGGCGGCAGAACCGAAAAACATCTTCAGGAAATAGCCCATCGCTTGCAGAAACGTCTGCCAGCCTGTTACCATGGAGTTGTCTGCGCGGGAAAAGCCCTCCGCTGTGCTGAAAGACAAAAATAAAGAAGTTACACGCCCGGTGTTGTAATACCTCCATCTGACCCTAGAGGGCAGAATCACTCCACCACAGAATCCAACAAACCCAGTGAGAGAGAGGCAGAGAGGTGTGTGTGTGCGTGTGTGTGTGCGAGTGTGTGTGCGTGTGTGTTATCCTGCCATCAAACTGCTGCTAACCAGAGGCTGGCTATAGTGACTGAACAGGAAACCATGACGCAGTTTACTGTGACATGTGGCCACACGGATCTCATTTAAATACTCTCCGGGACAAGAATCATTACTTTTTGAAAGTCAAATGTACAACTTAAAAGAGCAGCGTCATTAATGCTCCATAATGAGCGACCAAGTCGTCTCACTCGATTCATTCTTTTGACTTTAACTTATTTAGGTGAAAATGATTGTAGTCATGTTTGCATCCCCAGAAGAAAAAGCTTGTTTTATAGTTATTGATGTAGAAAGAACGCAGACAATCTATTCACGTTTTAGAGACCCACATAGACTCGTTGTAGGGGGGACAGGGGACCTTTAGGGGGCGATAGCAGGTCCACAGTAGACGCCACATAGAAGTGGTGAACATCAACTGAAAGCTGGGACCATGAAGATGAATTTAAGATTCAGCTCAGCAGTAAATCACAAATAAAGATATTTTCATTAATCAATTAACGATGGAAGTATGTGATGGCTATCTTCATGCTCACGTCTTTCTTAAGTTGTTGAAGCAATTCTTTGGTTGAGACCGTTTGTTGCACAGTTTTAGTGCTAAAGTTAACCATTTGTTATCACTCAGAAATGTATTAAAATGAATAAAAACCCTCTGAATGCCCTCGGCCTCTAGTGTTCTGTTGTTGAGTTTCATGTGATTATGCCAGAGGTCACAACAGGTTGTTTCATACAGCAACAAAACATGATCTCACCACAATAAAATGACTACTACGTGCATGACGTGTAAAGTAATGTATGTCTGTAAAGGGCTGACTCGTGGGTTTCTGCAGAGCCCGTTTTCATTCACACATCTTGAGGTGAGAGGTTAAAGGACCCTTTAGACAACTTGACACGTTAGTTTTACCTCGCCAAAATAAAGCCATCCAGCCTCCTTCCCAACTAGCGTGACACGACTGGTGCCAATGGATTCATTAGGTCGTCTTGCTTCATTTGACACCGGCATCGTCACTGTAGCTTTAAGACCGAGCCCACTGCAGCCTCTTAAAGGCCGAATCCTGCGGGTCAACCACTTTTTATAATAACAGTCATCCAGACAAACAACAGTGTCGCTAATAATCCGATTTGAATCCGATAAACAAAGCTCCCAAAGGCATTAGCTGCTTCAAACAACCGTGGAGCAGCTTTCCAAGAAAAGCCCGTCTGTGAGGTGCTAACAACAAGCGAGCTGCCATTATTCACGCAGTCGTTTTACTCCACGGGGTCCGAGCGCAGACACTCGAGATCACTTTGCACATTTAGCTGGTTGTGAGTGGGAGAGAGATAAGGCGGCGCTACGGTGAGCACAGAGGCAGCAGATAGAGTAGCGCCGGTGCAGACAACCAACAGGAACCTGCCAACTTCTCCGTTTCCGTCAAACTTGTCCGTCGAGATATAGTGTGTGTCTGGCCGTTTGTTGATAGAGGACAATCTTGATAAACAATTCTAAAGAAGTGACACTCCCCATAGACCGTACAGTACGTTTTGTCACACGCTCTCATTACTGGCACAGATACAGTGAACATAGTGTACCAGATGCCGTGATGTTCATGTTTTTTGTTGCTTTCTCCGGCTCTAATTGTATGTTTTATGTTGTGTTTGTTGCCTCGAGGTGAAACACAAACTAACTCAGACACATTTACAGAGCTGTTGATCAGAGAATAAATAAATGAAATGCATTGAGAAATAAAATGAATAAAAATGTATTCCTCCACTGTCAATGACATCCACATTTTTCAGATAGACTATTTTCAGTTGCAGCTTTTAGGTTTCACATTCAGCCGGTTCTGATGAAAACATTCCCACATCCTCTGCTTTACAAACCTTTGGCACCAAGTGCAAGTCTGAGATGAGGAAATACAGTTGTGTGAAATACCACAGTTAATTTCTGTTTTAACAGGGGGGGGCAATCACTTTTTCACACAGTATCTTTGTCTAATATTTAAAATTTGTTTGATGATCTGAAACATTTAAGTGTGACAAACATGCAAAAGAGTAAGAAATCAGGAAGGGGGCAAACACTTTCACACAACTGTAGGTCACTGGTGTTGACTCCAACTCACTTCCTGCACAACAAGCAGGTGGGGGTTCAAATGCCGCACTAAACCCATGTCTGACATTTACAATGTTGAGGAGCCGATGTGTCACTGTGTGTGTGTGTGTGTGTGAGGATGATTAAAGCACAAGGTGAATTTATATACATATACATATACATATATATATATATATATATACACACACACACACATATATCACGTGGAGCCTCCATTTGTTCATATTTATGATTTTTGGCATTATAACTGTGTTTAACTGCACAAAAGAGATGTTTGAGTTCTCTCTACTTCTAGCCCTGGTTGTTCCGTTTCCATCGAGGTGCAGGATGTCTTACTTGGTGAGGACGATGGAGACGGCGTCGTTGAGGATGCTCTCACCGAACACCAGCATGTTGAGGACCGGGTCCACGTTGAGGGCGTTGAAGATGGCGATGGTGGCCACGGGGTCCACCGCCGAGATCAGAGAGCCAAAGGCGAAGCTACCGCACGGGAGAGAAAACGAGTTACAGAGTAGTCGGGAGACCCCGGTACAGGCACTAACTTACTTAAACATAATCTGGCCAACAAAAGGGACACAACACAGCTAATTAGCACAAGGTCAGAGGGAGGCAGACAGGAAATGAGTCACAAACAAGGAAGCATTGTTAGTTTAAAGCAGCATGTAGGGAGATCTATAAATAACTAGGTTCATTTTAGTGTATAGTCTTCGTTACTTTAGAATGAGCCAGTTTATATCTACACAGGGAGCGGATTCAGTTTCTACAGGAGCCCAGAACGGACAAACCAAACACTCTGCTCCAGACAGGGACACCTGCGTCTTCATGAGTTTTCCCGTCGACACCGCTAGATGTCGCCAAATCCTACACCTTCAATGATCCCCATGATTTGTTTTTGAGAATGCATAAATCTTATCCCAGAATATTAGGCAAAAATTACACAATGAATTGAAGTGTTCTGGCAGTCTGTGTCTAATAGGCCACAGACTGCAACAATTTGGTAATCAATTCTAGGAAATGTGAAATGTCATAAAATATAAAGAAAAGTGTTAATAAACTTAAATGTAAGGAATATATTTGTTGGTTTTTTAGATGTTTTGATGAAATGCACAATCCATTTTACTCCTTTAATGCATTAAGTTTATTAAATAAACAAACTTGAACTAAACTAATTCACTTTTTCAGGGTCATTTTGATTAGACTACTGTTCGGGGGGGGGTAAAAGACCGTAAAAGACCGTTCGGGAATCTTTGGATTAAAATAAGTGTCTAAATACAGTAGTAGTTCCAAGAAAGAGAGAAAAGAACAGCTACGTTCTGGGACTTCCCCGACCACAATCTAGTCAACTCTCTCTGTGTTGACTCAACGCCTGAATTCCCCTCTGAATTTCATTAAAATCTGTTGAGCAGCTTCCAAGATATCCTGCTAACCAAAGAAAAACAGAGATGGGACGGGAAAGGCATCATCATCTGTGAGGGAAATGACCAGGCAGAAGCCTGGCTTGTATAAAAGAGACACACACACACACACACACACATGAACAATAACCCAAAGCTTCTCTGTAAAAACTCATCGGGTTTCATCTCTGGCAGCCGGATCATCCGATTGTCTGGAACTCGTCATCAGTTCAACTCTTAACTTCGGCTCCAGTGGGTCATGATGTTAAAAATACTAACATTTCTTTCCACTTGAAGCCATTTTGGATAAAAGATTGTTTTTAATGCTAGTTAGAGTGGAACACTAATACTCACCTATCAGTCATAGACATCTTATAGATGACATCAGCCTGAGGGACATAAAAACACACACTGTGTTACGCTGTTAGGAGCCGCAACAAATGCCATTTGCCACTACGCTCTGTCTCAACAAGCTGCTCCAGGAAAATACAAAGAGTGACTGAAAATGTTTAATCAAGTTGACACTCTTTCTCTGAACAGGCCCTAGCGGATACCGTTACGATCCTCACCTGCCCCAGGAAATAGATACCTCCTCCCACTATGAAGGCGGAGATGGTCGTGCCGATCACAGCGAAGAGGGTAATGGAGCCGATGTTCTGGAAGAAGTTCCCCTGAACACACATGAACGCACGGCCTGTGAGCACTCACGGAGGGTTTGGTAGCATGACATGTGAAGCTTGCACGGTGTTACATAACATTAGGTGGCGAGAACGTCAACGGAGAGCAGAGCACGGTGCAGGTACGGAGAAATTATTCATCATTTCACTGCGAGTAGTGGAGCAGAATGAATCTATAAATAATACAAAATGTTACAAGCCCATTCATTTTAAACCTCAGCTATGGTAATATGTGACCGCACAGGAAAAGCATAACTGACAGAGCAGAGCTGCTTCGGGGACGTTAGCCCTCAAACCACAGACTGTATGTAAGAAGTGGACGTAGTCATCGGGACGTCTCCCATTGGTTTGTGGACTGATGTTATGAAGCCTCGAGTTCGGCGTTTGGCCGTAAGTCTACGGTAAACAGATGGGGACGTTAATGGATTTGGTGCAGCGCTACACAGAGCGTTACGATCCATCCCGCTCTCTCTGCTCGATGACGTCACAACATCCGGTTGAAAGGTCAGCCGACCTAAAGGTGACGAAGCGATCAGTAAAGCTACCGTGATGAACTCACCGTTGCCGGTAATCCATTTATTTTGGATGTTTCCGCATGTTTTCAGAACGCAACATCTCAACAGCCCCTTTAGCTTTTATGCTTTCATGTCTTAATCTACTGTTAAAACAATAAAAATAAAATAAAAGTTTAGGCATATTATTAATTTTTTATTTCATGTTGTGCTAACATTCTTGCTCTGTACACTTGGATATTTTTTAAACTGTTTTTTAACTAAATTAGCAGAGAGAGAAAATATAAACGTTGTGTTTTCATAGTTATGCTGTTTGCCCTTTTGAGTGCGTCACATTCATAATGTGCGTCACATTCATAATGAGCCTGCAAATTCAGCTTCACACACACACACACACACACACACACACACACACACACACACACACAGTGTGCCGTACCTTGTGTAAAGAGTATCCAGATTCAAAGATGATGGGCGGCAGGAGCAGAAGGAAGAACATGTTGGGTCGGAACATTTCCTCCTCCTTTTTAGAAACAGAGACAAAGTTACAAACAATCCAAACATGTAGCGGTGCTAAGCTAACAGTCATGTGATCCAAATCTTGGAGCTGCACTCTGACTTACAGGAGCAACATGTCGTTACAAAGTACAGACAACAGGAAACATTGTGATTGAACGAATTACAATTATTTGTTTAACACATTCCATCGTGTTTTGTCATCTGGCAACGAGCCCACGATGCTAATGCTAATCAGCACCGTTACATATGAGCAAATAATGTGCGTGTGACTGAATGATGTAAAAAAAAAAAAAAAAAAAAAACGCGCTCGTGATTATGACGCAATCCTCAGCGAATACTCCCTTTTACTCGTCCACTGATGAAGGCCGGATCAGTGACCGTCAGCTGACTTCATACTTAGTCATGGGAGATGGGGAGGAGGTGACGAGGGAGGCCCCGAGCTGTGACTAACGGCCCTTCATCTGACAACACTTATTTGGACGCTGACTTCAGGATGCCAAACACACACACACACACACACACACACACACACACACACACACACACA